TTGAACTCATAACCTAAGGGCACATCGACATGTGGCAGAAGGTGGCTGGAAACAAACCTACAGCTTTTAGATAACAAAAATGACTACATGACTAGTAGCAGCTCCTGCCAAATGTGTCAGGGGGAGAAATAGTCGAGGTTATAAAGTGACTAAAGTGACCCATCTAATGGGTAAATTGACAGCTACGTAAACCCTGTTTACCATCAGTGCTTTGTGAGTTTGGTCTTACAATTAACATTTCACACTTTATGATGTAGTCACCTCTTTTAGCAATAGTAAAATTACAGTACTCAAAATCATCCGATTCAGTTGTCATTTTACTCTAATTGCAGCTGATATGTAAACATTACAGATATTTAGTCAGTACAGATTTACAATTGCAGATTAGCAAATATACAGGTTCGTACTATATATATATATATATATATATATATATATATATATATATATATATATATATATATATATATATATATATATATGTACTAACTTATTTTGAAATTTTTATTTTTTTCAATGCTGCAAATCTGTCAATCACCGTTTCATTGAAAGTAGGCATGCTCCTGACTAACTCCCTTTCCATCGAAAGCATGGCCAGTGCATTCAGATGTTCCTGTGCCATTGCATTTCTCAGCAAGGTCTTTATTCTCTTCAGTGTTGAGAAACACATCTCAGCTTCAGCTGTTTTCATTGGAGTAGTTATAAGGATGTTCAGCAAAACTAAGGTTTCAGAAAAAGTATCCTGCAGGTTTTACTTCTGTAGAGACCTGTACAATGCCAGTGCACCACAGCAGCTCTTGAAATCAGGACTCTCATAAATAAGAGACAGTTCAGTCTCGAGCTTTGCCTGGTTCAGCATGGGGTATGCCCTAACAGTGGTGTTCAGAGCCTCTACTGGGAATGCAAGGCGATGCTTTTCAAACATCTCTCCTTCTAGTAGCGTTGCACTCACAAGGTGGTCAGGAAATGAGAAACTCTCTTTGGCATGGGCCAGGATTGTGTCACAGATCTGTCAAAAAATAAATGTATTTATATACACTGTATATTTATTCAGTGCCGTGAAAGCAAAATGTTTACATATGGAAGCACTGGTATTCTGGTATACTGCAACATCTGTGGTTTCATCTGCTTGTATTCTACAAATTTTGATGATTTCATCTCGTCCACGATATGTTCCCTGATGACTGATAGCATGTAATCCAGTAGTTAATTTTGTAAATTTTTTAACGTGCCCTTAAAGACTGTGGCAGTTTTCAAGTGCTCCTCAAACACCTCGTCTAGTGAGGCGACAAAATCGACCGGCCCAGGGTTACTAGAGCCCTCTCTCTCATCTCGGCCTCTCAAAGCTACCTCGAACACTCCACAAAACTACACACAATCAATTAGACGGATAAGAATGTGGCGATTCTATCCGACCTCGTCATTGTGTTGACGCACTGCTATCCTATAGCTCTCACCCAACTATGTTGCAATGTTTGCCCTCCCAAGAGCTGCATATTTAAGACAACTGTCCATATGAACCTTGGATGCTTCATGCTTTCTAACCTTCTGTGTAAGATGATGCATATCAGTGACACCTGTCGTTGTCCAAGCCTTGTCTGCTCCAGGGCATCCATCAGGATGGAAAAAAAATGCAAGGGTAGCTACTGAACGCTGACCTATTGTATATCCAATCATTCTTTCTAATCTAAAATTCTTGAGAAAGTAGTTGCCAAACAAGTGTGCTATCACTTACACCAGTCTGAATCTGCCTGCCTGTTCTCTGGGAGAGAACTTAGAGTATTTAAGGCCTGAATCCCAGCTAGTCAGAAGCCTAGCCCTGCTGCTACCTAGCCCTCTGCTAATCCCTCTGCCTCTGGACTCTTCTGGTTTCCTCTCCCAGCCTGAACCACAGATCAGAGTATTCTGTGCGACCAGCCCGGACTCATTAAGTATCAGTGTAATAATCTGGATTGTGTTTCTTTTAAATAAACTGTTAAACTTTCATCCAGTCTCTGTGGTGTTCTGCGTTTGGGTTTAGCTTCTGAAACCCAACATGACAGACCGTAGGCTTCTGTTGAATGGGATTCCTTTTGACCACCGGTATGTGGGGGTCTGAGCTGCTCCGGCAGCAAAATAATATTTGAAGGCGGGATGGTAATCTGGATGAACTGATTGCACAGATTAAGTTTTCAGGTGGACATTCTCACTGAAAAACATATTAAAACTACTTTTTATCCACTGATCACAGCATATATAGCTGCCATTGTTACAGGCAAAGAAAGGATAGGGTAGCTCCTCCCAACGAGCATCAGACCCACTTTTGCACCGCTCAGCTGGAGCATCAGAGATGCTTCAGGGTCAGAACTAAACTTGTACAAGTATCAAAAATGAAGCAACATGCGTGTTTTTGCTGCATAATGAACTTTTTGAAGAGTTTCAGCTTTAGAGCTCATCATTGCACTGAAACAGCTCTGGTGAAAGTTGCTAATGATATTCTCATGGCCTCAGATAATTAACTTGTATCTGTACTTGAACTGTTAGATCTCAGTGCTGTATTTGATACAGTTGATCATAATACTCTTTCACAAAGACAGCACTAGACTGGTTTAAATCTTATCTATCTGATTGATTTCAATTTGTTCACGATAATGACAAATCTTCCTCATGTTCAATGGATCAGTGCTAGGACCGACTCTCTTTACTATATATATAAATATATCTCTTTACTATATATATATATATATATATATATATATATGGTCAGACTCCAATTGGTAGAATTATCAGATAGCATTGGATTGATTTATACTGTAATGCTAATGATACCCAGCTATATCTGTCTATAAATTCAGATGAAGCTAACCCATTACATAGATTACAGGCATGTCTTGAAGACATAAAATCCTGGATTACTCTTAACTTTCTGCTTCTGAGTGCAGACAAAACAGAAGTTATAGTATTTGGACCAGAGTCTTTAAAAAGGAAGATGATTAGCCAGTCACTTTATTTGGATGGGATTAAACTGATTTCAGATAATAAAGTAAAACATCTTGGTGTTGTTTTTGATCAGGAACTGTCGTTTAAATCCCATATCAAAGAGGTTTCTATAATTTCCTTCTTTCATCTGCTTAATATTGCAAAAATTAGAAATCTCCTGTCCAGGGGTGATGCTGAGAAACTAGGCCATGCATTTGTTACTTCAAGACTGGACTATTGTAATTCTTTACCAGCAGGAAGTCAACAAACTTTAGTTAAAAGCCGTCAGCTGATCTAAAATGCTGCAGCCAGAGTTCTAATGAAAATTTAAAAGAGAGATCATATCTCTCCTATCCTGGCTTCTCTTCATTGGCTTCCTGTTTAATAAAGTACATAATTTAAAATCCTCCCTCTTACATATAAAGCCTTAAACTGTCAAGTCATTCTTATATCAGATATATAATTGTGCCTTCTGTTCCTAACAGAGCACTTCACTTCACTGACCTCAATCTGAAGGTTTACTAGTGGTTCCTAGAATTTCTAAAAATAGAATGGGAGGCAGACCTTTTAGTTATCAGGCTCCTCTCCTGTGGAGCCAACCACCAGTTTTAGTTCGTGAGGCAGACACCCTGTCTACTTTTAAGAGTAGGCTTAAAACTTTCCTTTTAGATAAAGCTTATAGTTAGAGTGGCAAATGTTATCCTGAGCTATCTCTGTAGTTATGCTGCTATAGGCTTAGACTTCTGGAGGTCTAACAGGTCCCCTGTTTCATCATTTTGCTTCACTCTATCTCTATTCTTCCACTCTGCAGTAACGTTAGAGATTGAACTAACAGATGTTAGTTCAATCTCTAACGTTACGCTCTCTCTGTCTTTTCTTATAGTAGCTTCGCCTCTTCTGTTCCTGTTTGGCTGTGACACCACCCTGGAGAGAAATATCAGCTGTGCTGCTGCCATCAACACCCTTGGTTATAGATGTTTGTCCTGTTTCTCTGACTGTGACTGGCTGGGTGTGCTCTCCTCATCCTCTGACATGGGAGTTGGCTAAGAGCTGGTCTGCCTGGCTATGTGTTTCCTGGACGGGGCCGCCTTTTAAAGCTGCTTTTTGTATCTCTGCCTCTGTCTCCTTGAACCCAAGTCAGCCTCGGCAGATGGCCGCCCACACTGAGCCTGGTTCTGCTGGAGGTTTCTTCCTGTTAAAAGGGAGTTTTCCTCTCCACTGTCTCTACAAGCCTGCTTAGTGTGAAGGATTGCATCCGAGTCAATGAATCGATGCAATCAACCGGTTTTCCTTAGATAAAAAACATTTTGAATAAATTTGACTGTATGATCTGGTGAACTGTAAAGTGCCTCGAGATGACATGTGTTGTAAATTGGCGCTATATAAATAAACTGAATTGAATTGAACGTCTATGAGAGAGATCAGGGCGATATTCAGCCATGTTGAAATCGCCCAAAATGAGGCTGGACATAGGAGGCAACATACTCAATGTAACATTAAACGTGGATTGATTGGTTTATCGTTTTTTTTAATTCCTTACTATCTCCTTCTCTCTTTGGCAGTAGGTCGCCCAATCGCCACAATAAACAAACCAACTCTGTACGTGATCCACCCATGCACACTTGATATACTGTATGGCACACTGGCTCAGAGATGGAGATGCAAGGGAATATCTACTGTCTCAGCATCTGGAAAGAACCCAACAATTACTGTTAGAAGCCAACTTAGAGACCAAAAAGTTGAAAAGACAAACAAGATTGGTTCTTTATCACACTTTTATTATTTTAGTCTGTTACATACTAAAGTATACATTAGACATGTGATTTAAGTCCCTCACTTTGCATGAGAAAATGGAAAAGTTTCAGTAAGCTGAATGTCAAACAAATTTGTCTCTTTTGTGCATCTTTTAAATTACAAGTACGAATTTGCCTTCTTTTAAAGGAAATGTAATCTTTTTGAAATAATGAAAATAGCTGATTTTAGAATATTGGTTAAAATTAATGGTTTTACAGTAAGTCTCAATACGAATTGAAACACCCAAACAAGTTTTATGAGATTAATGTACGTAGCTTAAAGCTGAGTAAGTGAAAAAGAATACAGTAAGCGTTCATGGGGACCCTCTAAACATTACAGCTGTCTTGCACTTTTAATTGATAAAGAAGAATAAAAAAGACACAGCTCAACAAAGCAAGTGCGAGCAGTTAATACTTGTGATGAAATGTACCACTTGTTTCTTGTTGCTATATATATATATATGTGTGTGTATTTCCAGTCATAAAACCCAGTCTTACACTTGCATTGTAAAGAACAGTGTGTAAAAACCTAAAAAAACATATAAAGACAGTATCACAGAGTCATCTATAGTAGTGCATAAATGAGGCTCATCTTCTTTCCAACATCTGTTCATCCCCAGAATATATACGTTCTCCCCACAGCACTGGTGTCAGGTTCATTTCTGGGCTTTGACTAGGCCATATCTGTGCCTAGATTCAGTCCTGTTTCAGTGATTCTGCTGCTGTCTGTTGCAATCATAAATCAATATAAACAAAGAGTTGTCAGTGCTACAAAGAGCAGTGCAACTGAAAAAGCTGTGATTTGGGTGCATTGTCGTTAGAGACAATTTGTCTTACCATGTATGTTGTCAGGAGTTTTGATTTTGAGATCCCCTAAAATGAAAGACAAAAAAAAGTTTACCACATCGATGGTAACATTATATCAAAGAAGAAAAAATTTTATTAACAACATTTGTATAGCTATCAAGGTATCTTCTTTCACATCATATATGCTATCACATAACCTATGTATGTTCTTTTATGATTAAATTTATTTCTGCTACTATTAAAACCAAATTATTATATTATTGTTCAATTTCAAGGTAAAATTGCATAAAAATATCCTTTTCGGTGTATGTCTTTCTCTTTTCAAAACTTTTATGTAAAAATTTAATATTATGTAATTATTATGTTATTATGGACTGATAAAAAATCCAGTATTATATTTTCTTTCTTTGGATTTATAAATCTAATGCTAGGTTTTTGCTATTTTAATATATCCCTCTAGAAAGAGATTTGTGCTACAATGAGGTCAACATTCAACAAATTAAACCTTATTTACGAAGGGATTTAAAGCTACAGTGTGTAATTTTCAGCGACATCTAACGTCCAGACTGCAGACCGCAGCAACATGAACATCTCCCCCCCA